AACAACAACAACAACAACAACAACAACAACAACAACAACAACAAAGAAACGCAATCCCTTAGGGATGTGTTCCCCGTGCCCACGCGGTAGGCAATTAAGGGAATGCATGTTGCCCCCCGCCCTAATCGGCGGTGGTCAGGGAGCAGGGTGGGGCCGCTGGTGGGGGTGACGGCTTACACAAAGACCGAGCATTTTGGCAGTAGCTGCGGCATCCATCTACTTTGCCCAACCCCCATAGAGTAGCAGCAGTGGCTATGGCCAACACTCTCCCACACACCACACACAACCCACTCACACTCACACTCACACCCGTGTTGGTCATAAACCCTACAAATACGGAACAGTGGTATCAAGCGGACTAAGCGGACTACCGCAGTCGGTGGGCACTAAGTGCATGATCATGGGGCTTGAACCCCCAACCTCCTTAATGCCACTTGTGTGCCTAACCAACTGAGCTAGGGCACTGGATGTGCAGGGACTGCAACTCGCGGCGTTCCCGAAATCGTTGACACCTCCCCTTCCACAGATGGTCAGGGAATGCTCATGAAGTACTCAAACGCACTGGTAGGACTTTTTTTTTTTTTTTTTTTTGGGAAAAGCAAGGAATCCATTATCATGAAGAACCATGAGGCCGGGAATTCCTCACAAACAACCCGGAAGGAAAACACTGAATGTCTGGTACCATTACCCAGACAGGTACGTGGGTTTTTCCCCAACAACACTTGGCCAAGCCAACGACACCGTTCTCTCGAACAGACAAAAGAAAACATCCACAAAAAAACATCCCTCAGACCAACAAAAAACTTACTAAAACCCAAATAAGACTACGACCCCTACTCCCCGTAGTACCCCTGCTGTCTCTCACAGACTTCCGTCCCCGTGACTTCCCTGCCTACCCGGCAGGGTGGACCCTAGTCCGCCTACTTCTGGACACTCTCGTACTTTGTTTCAGCTCTGTGACAGTGCTCCAGCCCTCCCTAAACTCATTCCATATGTCCCTAATCCTAACTATACCGTGTTCAACCCACGCCCTGCCGAAACTTCCTGGTTTCCCATCTGCAGTCAACACCTTTCCTTCTGCGTTCCTTATCATAGGATTCTCGAAGATAACTTGCATCAATACCTCTTGTTTTGTAACCGGTTCTGTCCATTTGTCCAGCTTGACCTCCTTCCACGCTCTTAATATGCCTGTCCACAACTCGAAGCAAGTTGGCCTCCGTAAGCAGGAGTCAATATCGATCCAGGCCCATACATCCTCCCTTCTAGACAGATTCCAGCTTTTCATGAGCATTGTCTCTGCCAATAAGATCCAGTGCTCTTCCTTCTCCGTTGCAAGGGCCTTGGGGATCCATGTGGCCAACATGACGTTGTTTTGTTTCCCCGGATCTTTCAGGCCCAATCCCCCTTCCTGTCTGTTGTGGCAGATAGTATCCCATGCGACCTTTGACAAGAAACCCTCTGATTCCAGTCCACGCGGCTTCCATATAAATTTCGCTGCCCTCCTTCTTACTACTGTTTTCGCCTTGCCCCCCAGTGGCCGAACCTTCCCTACGCACCACAACAGTGAAAATAGTGCCACATTCACTACCAACGCCCTTCCCATCGTGGACAGGTGAGGCGCTAAACCCAATGTGGATAATCGATTCATTACCCTCTGTTGCAGCAGTTCATCCTGGTCTGCAGCACATGAGAGGAGGGCTACTTGAACTCCTAGAAAACGTTCTGACTTGTCTGTTTCCACTCTTTTCATTCCCCATTGGACCTTCAGCGAAAAGGAGCTTGGAAGAAGGAACACATATTTTGTCCAATTTATCGCTGCCTCTGATAGATCCTCGTATTCCTTTAAGCATTCCCTCAGTGCTGTCAGCGACTGTTCCGTGTTTGCCACCACGGCGAACAAGTCGTCCGCCAATGCCTTTACCCGACAATCTCTTCCCCCTGTTGGAATCCCTTGAATCCTCTGATCTGAGCGGATATTGCAGAGCATTGTGTCCAGTTGAAGCACGAATAGCAATGGAGCCAACGGACATCCCTGTCTAAGAGATCTTGAGAGCTTGAAGTTCTTTGACAGGAAGCCATTGATCATGACTGAGGCCGTGGAGTGCGAGTACATACCAATCACCCATTTGCAAAAGCGCTCTCCAAACCCCAGAACCCTTAGAGTAGTCATCACGTAGGACCAGTTAACCGTATCATACGCTTTCTCCATGTCAAGCAGGAGAACAACGAAGTCCAGGTTCTCCTCTTGTACTATTTTCATTGTCTCAATTGTTGTTACAATGTTTACAAATATCGACCTGCCCTTGACAAACGTCGCCTGATCTTCCAACACTAGGTCCGATAGGTATCTACCTAACCGTCTGACCAAAATCTTTGCCAGTATCTTATACGCCACGTTCAAGAGTGAGATCGGTCTCCAATTCCGGATCTCACTCTTATCCCCCTTCTTAACTAACACCGAAGTGATCTCGTTACATGCGTTTTTCGGGAGGTACCCTCCATCTAACATTCCGTTAAATATCGACACTAGATCTTCCCCCATTATAGACCAGAAGGTCGAAAAGAACTCTAGAAGTAAGCCATCGTCCCCCGGAACCTTTGCCTTCGCCATTCGAGCCAACGTTGCCGACGCTTCTTCCGCCGTGATTGGTTTGTCCATGTCCAATCTTCCCTGTGATGAAAGTCTTACCTTCAGGTGCTGCCAGTGTTCACTGTCCCTTGCCAGGTTACGGTTCGCCCCCTCTCATAGTCTCCGTGAGGTTAGGATATCTTGGAAGTAACAGGCTGCGTAGCTGCACATATCCGCGGGTCTGGACGCTCTGGGTTGCGAATCACAGAATGGGTGGGACAACTCTCTCATAATTTGTCCCGCTCTTCTTGGGAGTCTTTGGAAGGACTCTTTGGACATACGGTAGTACACCGTAATGTTCTTGACCTTCAACCTTTCCGTCCATATTTCAGCTTTCTCTTGTTGCATTCTGTCCCACGGTTCCAGCCTCTTCACTCTTTCTTTTCCCCAAAGAAGCTCTGAGACAGGATGTTCCTTCATTCTCCTTTCTGCATACTCCACCCTCCTCCCGCAGAGCCTTTCCTCCTTATTTCGTTCCTGTGCCGCAATCCTCGAGTGAACATTAAGCAAATTAATTTTTGTGCCTATTTCCCACCAATCTGAGAGCGAATCAAATTGCTCTTTCCTGCCTGACCACCTTCCCCAGAACTCCGTGACCCATTGGCAGAGGTTCGGGTCTGACAGATTTTCTGTGTTCAAACGAAAGTAACCCTTCCCTCTACAGTACTCTTCCCCTATACGAAAGTCTGCTACCAATGGGTTATGGTCTGACATTGGCACGTTGGGGCATTCAATCCGTTGTATTGCATCCAACCCTATCTCGTTTGTTAACAGGTAATCTAATCTCATGCCTCTTCCCTGGCGTGTAAACCAAGAATAACCGGGGTCTAACGGATGTAAAAGTCTAAATGGATCGTGGAGATTTAGATCTGTCATAAAGTCTGGCATTGCCAGTACCCCTGTTGCTGAGCCTCTCCTCCCTACTTGTCTGTCCTCATCCAATGTATGATTCCAGTCCCCTACGATAATCATATTATCCTCGTCCGGTAGGCTATACGGCAGATCATTCAAGAAGACTATGCGGTCCCTCTTTCGGACTGGAGCATAAATCGTGACAACACCCCATTCTTCCTGCCCAATCCCCAGTTTCACCCAAGCCCACCTCCCCCATAGGTCCTTATAATGGTCTATGATTTTTGCTTCCAGGTCCTTGTGAAGGAGTCTTGCTACTCCTCCCGACGAGCCTTTGGCTGGGGACCAGATCTGGGGTCCGTCCCACCGTCCTCCCAGCTTCCGAATCTTATCCTCATAGAGCTTTGTCTCTTGTAAACACATAACCTCTACGTGATTCTCGTGAATCCACTTCTTCGGTCTGACCTTCTTACATTTGCCCCCTGTATCCCCCAATCCGCAAATGTTACGAGAGGCTATGGTAAGTTTAACCATCCATTTGCCCTCCTCCCGACCGTTGGATGCGGGATGTGTTTCGGCTGTCTTGACCCGTTCCTCTGGCTTCAGTGGCTTGTGAGCTCAGAGCCAATGGTTGTGTAAGGGCATCCCTGACGAACTGCGAGTCTAGCCTCTTATCCTTATGGAGACGGATTTTCAGTTCTGACAGGCATTCTGCAGACAATTTCGGTGTGATAGTGATTCGCCCAAGCTTCGGTTTCCTTCCTTCTGCAAACCAGGTAAGGGGTACGAGTTTCATCCCCAAGCTCTCCAGTCTTCCTGCATCGTCTGTCGTCATTGTCGCATCAACCAGCGGGACAAAGAGTTTGATCCTCTTTTCTTCGATTTTTGTAATGATCCTTGCCATCGGGCAGTCCCCAATCAATCGGACAGAGAAGTATCTCAAGAACAGGGTTTCTACCGTCTGCAGTATTGTCCATGGTGTGGGTGCATCATCTACCTGTTGTGAAGGCAGTGTGTACGGACACAGTGCTGTGTGCCAGGTGATAACCCAAAGGCCGTTCCTAACTGTAGTGCATGCTAGTGGAATTAGCAACTGTTCTAATCCTGGACCTTGTCCTCTGGCCATTGTTGCCAGACGCCTGTCTCTTGTTGTCTTCTGCCCCGGTGCTCCCGAGGTTGCTTGTTGTCCGGTGGAGTGCACGAATGACTCCCCTGAGGCTTCTGTGTGGAGCTCCTTCACTGACGACATGTTGAGCCTTCGCTGCTTGCCTGCTGGTCGTGATCGCTGTTGAAGGTCCGCTACCGTCCTTGAAGCTGACCCTTCTTGTTCCGCTCCCAATTCCCTCCCTCCTGTTTGACTCCCTCTCCCTGGTTGTAGCGAAGCCTCTGACGGCTGCCCGGACCTTTTCTGCTGTCTACTCGTTCCTGCCCCTCTCGGGTCCACACCTATTCCGCCCTCCAATCCATGGGGACTGGGACCCTGGTCCTGAGGAATGAAGTTTGGCTGGTAGCTCTGAAAGGCCGATGATATCCCTTGTCCTCCAAGCCCCTGATGGAAGCCTCCCCCGTATTGTGGGGGCATCCCAACATGGAATTGGTTTGCTTGTTGCCTAGGATTTCTCCAGCATCCTCCATTGACTGCTATCCCTCCTTGAGAGGCTGCGCCTTGTAGTGCCCACATCATCTGATAAAGGTTCTGCACGGAGGGGCTTGCTTGAAGGATCCCTCCCGGCGAGAACATCGGATTATCAGCAGCGTATGCAAAGCCTGCAGGTGCGGCTGCTTCCGCCTGGGGCTGGGGGCCCAGTGGGCCATGATATCGAAGTCTTCTACTCGTGCCCTGCCCCGTACTTGATTGTGCTTGTGAAGGTTGCTGGGTGGGGATATTCGTCCCGCCTGGTACTTCCCTGTTTTGCCCTCCTCGCCTCCGGCATTCCTCCTCTGTGTGGAAGAACTGTTGGCACGTCCGGCACTTCGGCGTAGTGGAGCAAGCCAAACATACTTCCAGGTCGTCTCCCTTAGAGGTGATGATTCTCATCTTGCCTTTCATGTTCCCTCTAGCATCCGAAGCCAAGTCAAATCTCGCATTCACTAATGCTGGTCTGTCTGGATCTACGTCCGGTGGGTGTGCCCACTCGATCTTGCCGATTGCAATCTCGATTTGTGCATAAATAAACGACATATCGTCCAAGGGAACTTGCACCGCAATCACCCAGAAGATTCTGTCGTCCTCCTGTCTTCGTAAGTCCCTGAATTCCGCCCTTGTCATCCAAGGTTTGAATTGTACTTCGTAGCTGACGTTAGCTTGTCTCGTGGGGATCTCCACCCCTCCCTCACTTATCATGAAGTTCGCCACCTCCCTTGACTTCGCTACGTATGAAAGCGCATTCGGACCTTCTATCTTTACTCGTCCCCTCCTTGTTTCCCTGGGGAACCGTTCACTGCCCAGGATCCAACCATCTACAAACGCTCTTATGATGTCGTCCTTGATCTTCTTCGAAAGGAATCTTGCGTTTTCTTTGAAGATCACTGAGACGGTCCGCTCTTTCAGCCATTTTACCTTGATTTCGTCCAACGACGTGTTCAAGGTAAACTTCACCTCCCTTCCATTAACCTCCATTTCGCCTGGATCCAGCTCCCTGGGATACACCCCATCATCAAAGCAGAGGGAGTGATCTGATTCGTTCCTCGTCCGCCCAATAGTTCATTGGCTCTGCCGGTCCTGGTGGAGGTGACCTCGCACTCGTTCTCTGTCCTTCCAGTTCCTCCTCCATCTCGTCCTTGCTCTTCCCTCTATCTTACTCCTAACCTTTCTTCAGCCAGTCTATCGCAACCTTGCTGCTGTTCACTCGATCCTCTTCTCGTCTTGAGTCCTGCTCCGACGTCCGCGCCGGTCAGCGGTCATCCGAACTCGGCTGCAGGATTCCTCCCACCATAGCCGCTTTGCCCTTACCAGGGAAAGAGTCGGTACTCCCGAGGCACTATCTCGGTGGTAGTGCGTCGGTTGACCGTGGTCGAAAATTCGCGATGCGAATTCGCGACCCGTACCGCTGGGCAGAGTGCATTAGCGCCGACCGCAGCGTTCCACCGGCCCGAGATCTGGTAGGACTTTTCGAGTGCTCAGTCGAATTCATCCACAATCCCCCGTAATTTGCAGTCAGACACATACATCAAATCAAGTGTATGACTTCACACTCGTAGGTCCTCACACTTGTGCTTTTTTTGGCCGGGAATCTGAGAGGGTCCTGACAGATTCCCAGCCCAAAAAAGCTCAACAACAAGGTCAGCCGAGCCGAGCCGATCGAGGCCCGACTTGTTCCGCCTGATAGCCGCGGGGTACGACGTGGGCCGCCTCCACAGCATTTGCAAACCGAAGCGGTTGAGTAGTTGAAAAGCGAAAGAGGACGATACTGATGACGGTTCATAAAATCCGGATGCTCGTGGCGTACGAGGACGAAGCCGCGGAGCAGGAGAGAGACGTGGTAATGTGCGTGCATGCGCTCCTTGTTTAGCGCTTTGGGTGTATCTGGGGGCTGTAGGGTTCGAGGTTGTTCTGCCATCGCTGCTCGGGCTTGTGGAATCGGGATCGAAAAGAGAATCGCAGGAAGGACCACAGGCAGACAGCGAGGGTGAAGGATTGGCGAACAGCATGGGTGCCGACCTGGTTCCCCGGCCCGAGAAGCTCCCCGAGCTCACTCGGATGCACAGCATGACAGATCGAGTGAAGGGATCCATCGCCGAGTACCGCAACCAGGTCATCCTGCTGTTGTCCCGGTATGTGTCGAACGGGAAGCACACGCTGCAGCCGCACGAGCTGAAGAACGAGTTGGAGCGTGTGGCGGAGCTGGAGTGCTTCGCGGGTACGCAGATCAAGGACAGCGCGTTTGCCAAAATTCTCCGTGCGACTCAGGAGGCTGTCGTCATTCCTCCGTATATCGCGCTGGCGGTGCGGCCACGTGTCGCGGAGTGGCAGTATCTTCGTGTGAACGCGTTCGAAATGACAGTCGAAGAGCTCAGCCCGTCCGAGTACTTGGAGTTCAAGGAGCGTCTGAAGGCGGCTGACGATGAGGCGCCGCCAATTTGCAGCGACTTCGCCACGCTGGAGATCGACATGGAGCCGTTCAATGCGAGTTTCCCGAGGTTGACCCGCCCATCGTCCATCGGCGACGGCGTGTCGTACCTGAACAAGCACCTCTCATCGCGGATGTTCAAGGAGGCCGGCGGGTTGCAGCCGCTGCTGGACTTCCTGCGCACTCACAAGTGCGTGGGCGAGACGCTCATGCTCAATGCGCGCATCGACACTCTCGAGAAACTCCGCAGCAATCTCGCCAAGGCGGAGGAGTTCCTCGGCGCGCTTCCCGCCGACACGCCGGTCGGGAGTGTGGCCACCCGATTGCAGGAGCTGGGCTTCGAGCGCGGGTGGGGCGACACCGCCGGACGCATCAAGGACATGGTGGACATGCTGTCGGACCTGATGCAGGCGCCTGACGCCGACCTGCTGGAGAAGTTTCTCGGGCGCATCCCCGTCATTTTCAACGTGGCGATCATGTCGCCTCACGGCTACTTCGGGCAGGCGAACGTCCTAGGCCTCCCCGACACCGGCGGGCAGGTGGTGTACATCTTGGACCAGGTCAAGGCGCTCGAACGGGACCTCCTCCATCACAGCAAACAGCAGGGGCTCAACTTCAAACCTCAGATCATCGTGCTGACGAGACTGATCCCGGACGCCCACGGAACGTCCTGCAATCAGAGGATCGAGCATATCGACGGCACGCAGTACTCGAAGATCCTCCGCGTGCCGTTCAAGAATCCCAAGGACGGGAGCGTGCTGCGCAAGTGGGTGTCCCGCTTCGACGTTTGGCCGTACATGGAGCAGTTCACGGAGGACTCGGTGCACGAGCTGCGCGCCGAGTTCGGCGGCAATCCCGACCTCATCATCGGCAACTATAGCGACGGGAATTTGGTGGCGGTGCTGCTGGCGCACCGGCTGAAGGTGACGCACTGCACGATCGCCCACGCGCTGGAGAAGACCAAGTACCCCAACTCCGACCTGAACTGGAAGGAGCTGGACGAGAAGTACCACTTCTCCTGCCAGTTCACCGCGGACCTGATCGCCATGAACCACGCCGACTTCATCATCACAAGCACGTACCAGGAGATAGCAGGGCGGGCGGACGCCGTGGGACAGTACGAGTCGCACCAGGCGTACACCATGCCCGGCCTGTACCGCGTTGTAAACGGAATCGACGTGTTCGACCCCAAGTTCAATATCGTCTCCCCCGGTGCGGACGCGGACACGTACTACCCGTACTTCATCAAGGAGAAGAGGCTGACGGCGTTCCACCCGGAGATCGAGGAGCTGCTGTACGGGCAGAAGGAGGACGTCAGGCTCTGCCGCGGAGTCCTCCAGGACAGGAGCAAGCCCATCATCTTCACGATGGCGAGGCTGGACAAGGTGAAGAACCTCACCGGACTGGCGGAGATGTACGGCAAAAGCGCGCGCTTGCGCAAGCTGGTCAACCTGGTCATCGTCGGAGGGTACATCGACCCGTCTCTGTCCATGGACAGGGAGGAGGTCCACCAGATCAACCAGTTGCATGCCATCATCGACAAGTACGCGCTGGACAAGGGCGACATGCGCTGGATCGTGGCGCAGAAGCACCGCATGCGCAACGGGGAGATGTACCGCTACATCGCCGACACCAGGGGCGCTTTCATCCAGCCGGCGTTCTACGAGGCCTTCGGTCTCACGGTCGTCGAGGCCATGACCTCGGGGCTGCCGACGTTCGCCACCTGTCACGGCGGCCCCGCAGAGGTCATCAAGCACGGCGTGTCGGGCTACCACATCGATATGTACCGACCCGACGAGGTGGCAGACTTGATAGCCGACTTCTTCGAGAGGTGCAAGACGGACCCCGGCGAGTGGGACGGTCTGTCCAAGGCGGGACTGGAGCGGATATACAGCAAGTTCACGTGGGAGATCTACGCGGAGAGACTGATGACTCTCTCGCGGGTGTACACCTTTTGGAAGTTTGTGTCCAACCTGGAGAGGAGGGAGGCGAGGAGATACATAGAGATGTTCTATAACCTCAAGTATAGACAGTGCGTGAAGACGGTGCCGCTCGCAGTCGAGTGATGGATGCACATGGGATTTTCGTGCGATCGCACGTGCGTAGAGTATGGGCGGCGACGGAGTTTCATTAGCTACAAGGGAGGTGAGCAGAATAGGCGCGGGGAGGGGGAGAGAGGGGGGGGAAAGAGAGGAGGGATACAAGGAGTCGTCAAGACGGTGCCGCTCGCAGTCGAGTGACGGATGGATATGGGATTTTCGTGCTATCGCGCGTGTGTAGAGTATGACCGGCGACGGAGTTCTATTAGCTACGAGGTAGGTGAGCAGAATAGGCCGGGGGGGGAGGAAGCGGGGGGAAGAGAGAGATACAAGGAGTCGTCAAGACGGTGCCGCTCGCAGTCGAGTGACGGATCGGAAAGGATATTTGTGCTATCGCGCGTGCGTAGCGTATGGGCGGCGACGGAGTTCCATTAGCTACAAGGTAGGCGAGCAGAATAGGCGCGGGGGGAAGAGAGAGAGAGAAAGAGAGAGAGAGAGAGAGAGAGAGAGAGAGAGAGAGAGAGAGAGAGAGAGAGAGAGAGAGAGACGGTGCCGCTGGGAGTTGAGTGAGGGATGTCATGAATTGATTGGTGGGAACGCACGGTGTCGAACGTGGCGGTGATGGACTCTCATTAGCTACAAGGNGAGAGAGAGAGAGAGAGAGAGAGAGAGAGAGAGAGAGAGAGAGAGAGAGAGAGAGAGAGAGAGAACCTCCCCATCAATGGTGGGATCTTGCGTGCGTCGACTTCAAGATGAGAGAGGTTGCTTCGTGGATTCGAGACGTTCTTTTTTTTTTTTTTTTTTTTTTGATTCGAGACGTTTTCTTTACAAGAAACCTGAGCATTTTTTTTTTCTGTTCTTTTTTTTTTCCTTATAAAGGTACTTTCTCCCAATCACCTCACACACTACCTACCTACCACTACTCCTACTCCTAATTGTAGGCATACGGGGAACCCCGTAGCAGCCAGAACCGTGTTCACGAGAGTACATGCGGGGCCTGCTCCCGACCTGCAGGAGGCTGCTTGGAGATCTGCTCAGAATTCAGGATTAGAGTGGTCCATGTTTTCACTCTTTTTGCTGATTTGCGATGTTTTCTTCACCATAGATCTGAGTTTTTCTGTCCTAAAAAATGGCGAGATAATCCGCGAGAACGTTTTCTTGGCAACTTGAAAGAAGATGGGAAAGGAATTACAAGGAAATAGCGCGAAGCTTATCTTCTTGGTCATCGCAATCATCACCATCAACACCACTTGGGAGTCTTTTTCTGCGTCAACGCGTCCCTTAACTTGAGACACGAGAAAGAAACGAGGAAAAACGACAACTTCCTCGTCATTGCTACGGGCCTCGCTACTGCCTGCCATCACCCAAAAGGACACTTCCTCGTCATTGCTACTGCCCTCATTACCCCTGCCATCGCGAAAAAGGAAACTTCCTCGTCATTGCCACAGCACCGCTACTGCTATCGCTACTGCCTGCCATCGCTGAAAAGGAGACTTCGTCGTCATTGCTACTGCCATCGCTACTGCCATCGTCGTGACTGCCTGGCATTGCTACTGCCTGTCATCGCTACTGCCTGCCATCTCTACTGCCTGCCATCTCTCCTGCCTGCCATCTCTCCTGCCTGCCATCTCTACTGCCTGCCATGTCTACTGCCTGCCATCGCTACTGCCTGCCATCTCTCCTGCCGGCCATCGCTACTGCCTGCCATGTCTACTGCCTGCCATCGCTACTGCCATCCTCGCTACTGCCATAGCTACTGCTATAGCTACTGCCATCCTCGTTATGATCTCCAGCAACTGAGTGAAAATTTTTCTTTTCTTCAACGCGTCATGTGGTCTTAAGATGTTTTCTCGACAGATAAGAAGAAAAAAGAAAAAGAAAAGAAAACGGAAAAGCTCATTGTGCCCTCGCTACTACCATCCTCCCGACTGCCTGCCATCGCTACTGCGTGCCATCGCTACTACCATTCTCGCTACTGCCATAGTTACTGTCATCCTCGTTATGATCTCCACCGAGTGAAAGTTTTTTCTTCTTCAACGCGTCATGTGTTCTTTAGATGTTTTCTTGACAGATAAGAGGAAAAAAGAAAAAGAAAAAGAAAAAAAAAGAAAACAGAAAACAGAAAAGCACATTGTCATTGCCACTCCTGCCATATCACCATCATCATAGCTACCTTGGCAGCTTTCTCTCCTTCAACATTTCTATCTACGACAACACGGCCTCTTTTCGTTTTGAATTATTCGTACCTGACACTACCTGTCGTTATCATGGACGGGCACACCGTCCTTTTTTCTTCTGTTTTTTTTTTTTAACTGAAGGAGAGCCTCTTGGGGGCACACCGTCTTTACCCATCACACAGTGGAAGGGGCAGTTGTTGCTCGCCAGCCAAGCTTGAAATCAATGATTGAACCGGCTATTCATTAATCTTCAAGGGAGAAATCGATGGTGAAGCCGGGTCTTCAATGATCTCCAAAGGAGTATCAGAGGTGGAGGCGGGTATTCACTAGTATGTACAGTCGATGGACGGAATAGAGGACGTGGTGACTTGCTAGCAATATATGTAGTGACAAGCAAGTGAAGGAGTCCATACGATTTTATGCGATAGAATTGACACAGGAATGAATGAGGAAAGCAATGCCCAAACACTTCGCTTGTGAACACAAAATGGAAACAGCGTCCATTGGCGATGCCAATTTCAGAAGAAAACTAATGAGACTGCGACACAACGAGAATGAGAGGGAGAGAGAGTGGGGGTGGGACGACGTGTGTGTGTCTGTGTGTCCCCATGTGTGCGTGCATGCATGCATGCGTGAACGCGTGCGTGCGCGTGTGTGCGTGCATGCGTGTGTGCGTGCATGCGTGTGTGTGTGTGTGCGTGCGCGTTTTTGCTTCTAGAAATGTGATGACGGGGAGTCTGTTGCTGGTGCATCCGTGAATAGAGTGTGTGTGGGTGTGTGTGTGTGTCTGTGTGTGTGTGTGTGTGTGTGTGCGTGCGCGTTTTTGTTTCTTGAAATGTGATGACGAGGAGTCTGTTGCAGGTGTGAGCATCTGTCATGTTGACCTGTTAGTTTATCGACCATAGGTGGAAAGTTTACCTGGGGCCAAGTCCCACTAGCAGCGTCAGTTTTCTCAGCGCTCGAATCGGGAGTTGTTTGCGGACCCCTGCAGAAAATAGCGTTGAGTTTCCTCAAACTGCACATCGCCACAAACATGTCCAGATACAGGCGTTGATAAAACTCAACGCTGCTGAAGGGAATTTGGTCCCGGTTGGTGAACTCGTGTGATTTGTACATGTCTGTCCTGTCGCTTTTTGTCCGAGTAAGGGCCTCGTTAGACACTCCTCAGGGAAGCGACTCCAAGGATTTCGTCTTCGTTCAACCTATCCTCGGAGCCTATTTTCGAAAAGAAAATGTGAAAACAGTCCGAGGACGAATCCTCGGGGTCCGAGGACTTCCCAGGCAAATCGTTCTCAGGTCCAAGGGACCTCACGAGGTCCTGGGGAGCCTGAGGATCCGCGAATAGCGGGGTGGCGGCGTAGAGTTCCGAAGGAAACGTGTAGGCAATAGGTGGTCCATTCATGCATGGTCCAGCGGCCGGAAGACGGACATCGTGGGCCATCCTTCTCGAAGAGGTCCTCCAACAGCTTTCGGGGTCGACCGTTGGTGGCGATTTGCTGCATGGTGCATCGACATCTTCAGGCAGCTTTTTTTTTTGGGGGGGGGAAAGGGCCGAGTTGGGGCGGGCCTCCCAACGGTCGGAATTCTTGATTATGTAGCCTCGCTCACGACGAGGTGCTCCTTGCACGAATGTGCTGTCCTTGTCGTCCGCCTGATTGCCGTGTGTTGGCACTCGTGGCAGATGCGACGACGCAAGTGCGTGTGCGGTCTTGCCTTTGCTGTTGTTCATGGCTGACATGTACCGCAGGCCGCCACTGCTGCTGCTCATCATTGTGCTGCTCCTGGTCGTCTTGTCTTTCACATTTGTTTCCTCGGGTGCCTTCCTGGAAGGAAACCGAGGAGGTGAGCGTTCTTGAAGGCGAGGAAGATGGACAACTGTCCGACGAGCAGCACACCCTCATCAGTTCTGGGGGGGGGGGTTCATGCCAGCGATGCACCGCCGTGCAAGATGGCAGGTGGCCGTATGACCTGACGCTGTACAGCCACATGTCGTCGCAGGAGATCCCATCGCCTCCAAGCGACGACGAGGGAGGGGCGTATAGATCTTCAACGGTTCCTTTGGGCAGCGGTTCCAAGATGGCAGGTGGCCGTATGACCTGACGCTGTACAGCCACATGTCGTCGCAGGAGATCCCATTGCCTCCAAGCGACGACGAGGGCGGGGCGCATCGATCTTCAACGGTTCCTTTGGGCAGCGGTTCCACACAGGATGGGATGGGCAGCCAGTTCTTTACACGGTTGACGACACCGACGTACATAGAGCTGCTCGAAGGACGGACCCCGGCTGGCTACGGCGCTGGGGTTTTCCATCTCAGCTTTGGTCTCAGGTTCGACAGTGGCCCGGCCGTCACACACACCGTGGTAGAACCTCGCGAAGTCGACGTTGAGGGCGGGAGGGGGTCCGAGATCCTTTGAGCCTATTCACCGGAGGTGCTGGACGACCGTGATTTCGTTTCATCTTCGAGGGGTGCTGTAAGGAGCACGGCAGGCGTGGGCGCTTCAAGGACGAAGACACCGGGCGTGGGGGCCTTTCGATCAGCGACACACGACGATCCAATCCATGGAGGACTGCTCTGCTACAGAGGTCGTACGGCGGAATGTTTGGAGGGATCATCGACAACAAATGCAGCAAGCGAGCACTTACTGGCATAACGAAAGGGGTGGCCGACATGCTCGTCATAGGTGACAATATCTTTGTGGAGTGCGGTGGGGGGGGGGGGGGGGGGGGGGGGGGGGGGGGGGGGGGGGGGTGAAGAATGTAGGGCGGATGAGGGCGACCGTGACGACGGCGAAGATGACGACGACATGGAGATTCGTCCAGTGGGAAGGAAGAGGTGGATGTTGGGGCAGACAGAAGGCGGCGGAACCCCGCGCTGGGTGACAAGGCAAGAACGTTATGCAGGACAGTGCCGCGACCGACGGGGCGAAAAACGTGGATTTGTGGAACTTTGACCATATCACTTCTCTCGTTTGAGCGAAAAAAGACCAGGATTTGCATCTCGCCGGCTTGGGCCACAACTATGGACGAATGAAGACGAACAATTGGAAGTGGGACAATATGGAGAAGAGGCTGAAGCAGATGGGAGTGACGAGCATGAAGGCTATGGACAGCGGAGAAAAATGGGACAAGCAGTTCAGGGTTGTGTACGAGTTCATAAGAGAATCTGGGAAGGAGGACTTTTTCGCACTGAGACCGTAGAAGAAGAAGAAGAAAGGCTTCAAGTTCCGAATGGACCATCGTGTGTATAAGGAGATGAAGGCAAGGATGAGGGCCGATCACACTATCCACCGCGCAAATTTCGTTAACACACGTGCGCCTGGAGGGGTTCAGATGCCGCCCCCCAATGTCGATAGGAGCGAATTCGTGGCTAGCGAGGGACGCGGGGACATACAAGACGACAAACAGATCAACGAAGGAGTCGTCCTTCAACGCAAGGAGTCGGGGTGAGGGCATTGAATGGAAGAATGTGAGACAGCAGACCTTCGAGGCGATCGCCGACGTCATGGACAAGCACAAAAAGTTGCTGGCGACGATGGCCGACAGCCTACGTGACACCCGCGGCCGCGGCCGCGGGCAATTCGGCCGCCGCGGCCGAAAAAGTCGGACGCGGGCGCGGCCAAGAGGCCTAGTTTGCGGCCCGTTTTTTTGTATATTTTTTTGGTGGTCGAAAAATAAGTGAGAAAAACAAAAAAGAATATGAGGTTGTATGTCGTTGGTCCCCCTGAGTGGCATTGAGCAGAGACTGCTGATGTTCATAGGGGGAGGGGACCGGAGGGGACCGGAGGGGTGGCACAGTGACTGGCCCATCGAAGAAGTTCGGTCCTGATGCTACCGGCTGACCCCTGGCCGGTAGCGCCCACCTGCTGTAGCAGGTATTGCACCTGCTGGTGGGTGCAGCTCCCGCATGTTCCCTCGTTGGAGGCTTGAGCACGGATGTGGCTGCTACGGGGTTCCCCGTAATACTATAATGACAATAAAAAAAGGCCTGAAAGGCCGTCCTGTCCAGATTTGACAGGTAATTGAATTGTTTGGGCTTAAAGAATTAGCCAATCAATCATCAATCAAAACAGCAATCAATCAATCAATATTGATTTTTTTTTATTTATTTTTTTTA